CACCTTAGAACCGGGTTCTCCTCTCCGAGGGGGCCACTGAGAGCGGCTCGCAAAGATGGAATACGAGCCGCCATTATAATTCAATAGGTGTGGAGAACATTCCCGTCCTTTACCCAACACGCAGGCAAACACGAATATCCACGGTAAGGTAGCCTACCTCTATCGTCAGGTCTTTTATGTCTTCAGCAAGGCGGATTTCGTCCAAAGCAGGACAATTTTGAATCAGGGGAAATTCGTCTTCGAATACTTCTGCTCGCGTGAATACCATTCAGAGCGGGATCGACGAAATGCTATTAGGGCCGTGAGGCTGCCTTTTATTTCTGCCTTGCCGCGTCGATGACCTACAGGTTTTGATTGACTGATTGGAGCACAGATCGGATTCGATTGGGCGACTGATAGCACAGAAAGGGCGAAGTGAATTATTGCGAAAAAAGGAAACGCGACTTCTTCATTGGTCAAACCTCATTTGACTAGAAGGCGTTACTGGTGAACGTAGAATACCTAATAGGCTGATGTGTGCCCTGACAAAAATGGGAAAACCTATACTTTGTTTGCGCACATAAGAGTATTTGTCTTTGGAAAAAGATTGATTAACTATCGATATTCTTTTTACTAAACAGTGCCTTCCTGGGAATAAGTTTTCGTCTATTGATAACTGTGGGAATCAGGCTTCGAACCCATAGGTCACTTTGGGGGCCAGACCTTTAAACTATTTTAAAAGTTAGATTAGCAAATCTGTGCTCCTTCGAGTCCTAAAAGGCCAAAACTGTTTTGTAATTTGGAAATTAGTATCAGTTGACATCAAAATAACTACCGGTGAATAGTCATTTCCATTTTTAACATATTAAACGCTAGTTTTCGTGTGCTCTGTTGTGCAGTCGTAACCGTCGAACGGAACTCAAATGTGAGCGGAAATCACTGCAATATAAGATGAGAAAACATGTTTTTCCGTTTTCAGCATAGAGTCTAACTGTAAGTTCCAGCAACTAGAAAGAAGCTGTCAAAAGAACCTATCCCTTTTCTCGGTTCCATCGTATGAAAACGCAAAGTACACGGACGCCTGTCAACAGAATACAGCATTCAAGCATCCCATAAGATTGGATCGTTGATTGACCAACCTGTCAAAAATGTCATCTTAGCCTCATTCCTCCATCTCTTCGATGTTTGGAAGAAATAAATTGTTGTCGGTATTTGACTACATGGGTTTTAAGCAACATCAGAAATAAATGTATTGGACTCTCAATCTTTGGACATCTGCTCTAGTTGGGTGCTCTTATTAATTACCTTCAGTGAAAACCTCCCTGGTCGTCTTTTGGCTATTCCTGGACGCCGCTTAATGCATATTAGGCCGACAGTTGCCGATGAGGCATGTCATAAGTAGTAGAGAATGGAGGTTATCGTGTTTTGCGCGCTCAAACTCCTTACCTCCAGATCGATTCTCATTATTTTTAAAAACAGCACTGACGTTTCACTCCCCACCGCATCGAATGACGGCTTTGTTCGTCTGGGTGGTTTTCCTTAACTTAACATCAAGTGTTTCCCTTTAGAGGTTAGAGTTCAAGTCAACAGCAGAAGTGTTCGTGTTCACCAATAGGCGCGATGGACACTATTTTGACAGTTATTTAGAGCGGTATTTCGTTTCATTTATTTATCCGGTACGGTGAACTGGGACATTTTGTTAAATTGTGCGTCCTGCCTTTCGGTAAGCATTATGCTCCTGGGACGACGAGGTGCTTTCTTCAACGGTGGTCTGAAGGGCGATGATCTAGAATCTAGATACATCATCCTATCCCACTCTCGCCAGTGGGGATATTTTTGACTTCCCAGACTGGGCCTTGCAGTACCCGATGTCCACCTTCTTTCAGAAGTCATAAACAAAATCCAGGTCAACACATTCCCAGCCTGAGGTCTTGGGCTAGTAATGTTTCGCTTCTCGGGACGTCAAGAACCTAGCGAAGAGGGGCAGCTTAATTACGGGCTAACCGACACCTCAATGGACGGCAGATGGTTTGGGGCCCTGCAACGACCGTTACATCTGTAGTGAGTAGGCTCTCTAATCTGAGATAACCGAATTATTATGGCCTTAAGCTGCAGGCTGTTTACTTATACAAAACCACTTAATTAATCTTTTGGAAACGAAAACGCATTTCAGATCTTCGGTTGATATTCATGAATAAGCCCACCTACTGTAAATTAAAGTAAAAGAAACGACTGTAACATATGTTCAGTTTCATTTATGTCAAATGGGTCAGGTGTCTCTGTATGTGAATATGGAATGTAAGTGTAATTTGGAGATAGTGCCTTTGTACAAATGCGTAGTGCATAGTTTCCGTTTTCAAAATGTCTCCTATATGAAGATTAACCAATATTCTGGTTGTCTACGCCACATTATACACTTTGCAATTTAGGTGAACATCGCTCAGACTAAAAGACGTATTTGACAATTAGCTTTTGGTGTGTGCTGTCAACTGCGGGCGAGTAGGATAACCTCCACCGTTTTATTTTGATACTGCTTAAATGGAGCTAATGAACGCTGCCTGGATAGCAAATTTTCTGATCAGTTACAATTTTTCTTGCTCTGCTTAACACTAAATCCCAGTCGTTTTTATATTATCGGAGATTTTCGAATTTGTTCTGTCTGCGTATTTTGAGAATCGTGTTTAGCCTCTGCAAATAACGATAATAATGCAGCCCGAATATCTGACTTATTTTAGGACTGCATTAATGTCCAGCGAAAAAGAGTTCTTGAAGGAGCACTTCTTGCGTAAATAAAGTGTGTAAAAGTCAAGAATCCCACGGAAACCGAGCCTGTTTGGACTGACAGCGCCTGCAATAACTGTTCATGAGTGTCTCCGAAATAATTTAACATATATATATCATAAAGGAGACTACAGAGTCTGGGGGCGAATTAACACAGCACTGTTTCGGACTTGCTTGTCTTCATTCAGCCAATCATAACCCTAACCCCCAAGCTGGGACCGGAAACAAAATTATGCGATCACGATCCTGGCACAACTGGTCCATCCCTAGGTTCTACCAAATGGGTCATAAGCACTTCATCGAGCCAAACTTCAACAACTATCAAATCTGCAGAACATTATTCGCCGCGCTTCACGCTAGCGGTTTCATAAAGGCCTGTCAAGACCGTGATCGAAAAATGTAACCGCGAAAAACCATCAATTGTGTCATCACCGCCATATATCTCCAAACCACCACACCTCTCTAGACAGCAACACACCAACAGAAAATACTAGCGAGATCGACGGAGAGCAATATTTCATTATTCATGGATTCCCTGAATTAAACGCCAACACTTCCAAGGAACGACATTATATAACAGTACTAAAGGGAAACAGGCTGACGCAAGGGGACTCCTCATGGAGCTGGCATATTTCGAGCAGCAGCGCACACGTTCGTAGTGCTTTTTTTTAAATTATGTAAAAAGGAAAATCTTCGTAAACGAATTAAAGAAGTAACCGTTTAATATTGGTCTGTCGAAATAACTTGAGAGTGGAAGGTGTGATGAGCGATTCAACTAAATTTAAGTTTAACGGTTGTTAAGGAGTTGACTAAAAACAGCGCAACAAGCATAAATAGTGATAAGAAATAATCGACTGAACCTTTGGTAGATGTTGCACGGGAACAATAAAAAGCCCTTTGAGACAGTGTCTTGGAACGGGAGGTGGTGCAGATCAAGGCGAAATTCCAGTGGAAGATGAAGTTTGCGGAATAGTTGTCCTAGTCGTAAGATAAAAATGTCCCATGTCCGTGGAACGTGGGTGTTGGCATTCAGTTCGTCCCCCTCAGAAACTGAGATAGCACCAATTATCCATAGACAGACTACTGTACAGCACAGTTAGTAACGTTAATGTTTGTAACACTTGGAAAAAATGCGTTTATATGTCTGGTTTGAAAACTTTACTAATCTGAAGACACTCTGTAGCTGCTTGATGTTTCCATTTCAACTTTTTGATATGGTTCGCTTCCTTGTAACAAATAGGGAGTTCAAAGGTTCAACACCTATATTTCCCTCAAATAAACTGAAACTCAAACACTTGCTGTGTCTGGAATATGTACAACTGCCGCATATAAAATCTTAACTATTGTTCCATAGGCACAGCAGTCTTTCCCATTAAACAGGCCTACAGTCTGAGGCCTCGCCAAGTCCTTGCTGATCTGCACTTCGGCTCAGTGCAAGCAAACGCTGCAAAAAGCCTCAACCAACTGATGACAGTTGAGAAATCTAAGGACTTCGTTGGATCAGAAGCTTTCTAGACCACCAAACTTTGCCTCGCGCATTCACGTGCACACATTCGGCCGCCAAACTGACATCTTGGCACTTGAACGGCGATTTGCACAAGATCGATAACCCTCACGCATTCGAATTCACCTCAGTCATTAATTATGACGCTGCAAACGATGCGCGGACTATGCCTGCAAATTCTGGTCTTACGTGCATTTATTCAAACCATTTGTGAGATGATTTCAATGCCCTGGATTTGCTGCGTCCCGAATGTCATCCTTTACCTGTTACTTGGTAAGTGCTTGCATTATATCACTTCATGCACCTCGTGACTTCATTTAAATCACTGCTCACTGCAATGTAGTCTTTCATCTTTCCGACTTCTCCAGGCTTATAATAATTATGCGAGTATATGCAGACATGATTATAGTCTAACAGTCACATCGCTTCTTTTTACTTGTAGGCATCGTCCTTTCTCCCACATCGTTGTTCGTCGTTATGTTTTTGTTGTTCCATCTGCATGAAGTGCATCGTTGCTGCACGAAGCTCTGTGGAGGGAAGATGTCTCGTCTCCTTGAAAATCCTTTCAGCAATGTGCGTACAATGAATGATTGCAGAGTGCAGCAGTATGATGTTCTGCCATCCGCGTGTGGCGTCGAGTCTGCAGTCTGCAGGAATGCGGGATGTGGCGACGCGGAGCAGGAGGAGGAAGCAGCTGAATTTGGGGGAGGAATAGAGAGTGGTTTGGTAGGACAAGATGATGACGGAGCAATCAGGCCATGGTGAGTGCATTAACTACTTGCACTACCCAGTCTGACCGTTGCGCACCCGTCACCTGCTACCTAAACCCGTCTTTTTTACTTTGAAATAGATAAGACCATGCAGTACACTAAACCGCAGTCAAGAAAGCTTAAGTTTGTTCCAGAGCTCATTAGAATCGAGGAGGTTTCGGAGGAGAAGGAGGAGGAGGAGGAGGATGAGGAGGAGGAGTGCGAGGAGGATGATGAGGATGACAGCACAAATGACAAAAACGGCGTATATACAGAGGTGATGGAGAAGGACCAGCAGCAGAATGTGCACGCTGATGGAGACACGGACTGTTTTGCTATCGCCTCTGAAGTAAATGGTGGAAACTGTGAGGTGTGTACAGTAGTGGCAAACGGAGACAAAGAAGTGATTCCGGCGCCATCCGCCGGAAGACGGCGGCCTCCACGATGGAGGTCCGTTTACATGTCGTCGCGTAAGTCCACAACTACTTTACTGCCATGTTACTGCTTTAGCACTTCGTCTCCCTTATGACATACCCACCTCTCCTTTCCTTCACTCTTCTCATATTAGAAGCCTATGCATTGTTGGATCGCAGAGGTCGAATTCCCATTTGCACGCGGTTTTTCTGTGAAATTGGCAACAGTACCTAGATAAATAAGAGAAATCTTTCGAGGGTGTTGGAGCAACGTGCTCTCTATCATGTGAAAACTCGCCGAATGCACTGCAATTCACGACGTTATTTTATGTGAAATCTAGTTTTCTTCATTCGCGCCAAGCTAGTGGGCCATAACTCCAGTTAATCTCATGACTACTCCACCAGGCATCTCGTGGCCATTCTACCCGAGTGTCATCCTACCTTCTGCTTCATTTCATCTAGATCTGACAGAACAATTTTGTGCCGCTTCAGGATTTGCTGCTGAATGATCGTCTTCAACAGACAGCCAACCGGCTTAATTTATATTTGTCAGCTGGCTGACGATGCACATGTTACATGTTATATGGTCCTCATGTCCCAGTTCACCGTCGAATGGCGGCACGACTTAAAGGATTTGGTGAGCCTGTTAAGGCAAAATGCTGTAAGACGCTGCCCAAAGACAGTTGGTTCATGCGGTCGGGAGCATACTACGCGTGAGATGCATGATACGTCATGTCTCTGCGGTCAAACGACCGCCCACTGAAGTGGAGGCAATTGGCTGACACACGTTCCTCTGTTACAACATTGGCATATTAGTGAAGAAGATGAAACCGAGTACAGGATTATATGTAGTCCTGGCTGTGCTCATCTAGGGCGCAGGGAGTTAAAAATTCCATGGCAGATTTTTGGAAAAATTATTCTGATGCGACACAAATTCTGTGGGCGATTTGGGCAATGGATTTGTAAGATGCGATTGCGAACAATTAGATCTTGTATATGACGTGTATGTCATGAAGAGCAGCTCTGGGAGTGGGCGGCTATAGTTTGTTTGCACTATCAGATGCATTTGCATGTGAAGCAGCTGTTTGGAAGAAAATATGAGATGACTCTCTATGTTAGATAGCGGAACACGCAATGATAATTGGGCCGACGAGGATAATGATGAAGAGGATTGTCCAGACGGACGAGACGCATCCATGCGCTTAGTCTAGACCACCAGCCTTAACACGCCAGTTTAACATTCTGCAGTTGCAACCTTAAGTGCTGCGAGAAGGTGAGGTTCGTGTATAGCTTTTGGAAAAATAAAAGGGCATTGACTAAAATAAATTATTTTCATTAACAGTGCACTTTTTCGATAAACCTAATGTTTGCGTTTATTTCGCATCCTGAAAGACGAGTATTTTGGACGTCCAGTTCCAAAGGAAATGCTCTGAACCTTGATTACAACACGAAGAGCCGGGCACATGCAAGACTCTTCTACGCCTATGAGTCACGATTTGCCAGGGCTGTTGAAATGTCGCGTTGGTAGGACGGGAAAGAATACAGCCTTCATAGCACACAATGTCACTAGTAAATGTTACGGTAATTTACGTGCAGTCAATTAGTTTTATGCTGACCAACCAATGTGAGATTGGGTAACAACACTTGTGTCTTCTGTGGAATATCAGTGTACAATTTCAGATGCGTCGTATCTAGTGCGTAGTGTCTAAATACGTGACTTGCGTTGCTCATTTGTCACCTTGCTACAGACTAGTGAAGTTGACGAAAATACAGGCAGTGGAGCATTGGGAAACACTTATGTCCAGGTTTCAGAGTACTTCCAGCCGGCAGTCCTTGGTGCCTATCCGGCGCACAGTTGAGAATATCGAGCTGTTCCTGTGGTGTACGCAGATGAACTCCATTGAATAAGAGTCGGCCGAGGTTAATTAATTCACAGCAGTTGAATGCTCTTCTGTTGATATGCGTAGCAGCTCCGTGGGTTATCATGTAAGTCGATGCATGCATAATTTGAGGAATCTTATGACATTAAGCTAAAATTCCTAATCAGTTTCCGATTACATTCGACTATTATGTAATTTCGGCTATCCGTCAGCATCATCCCAGCTACTTGATTTACGCAGGATTTTGAGTGCACTTTCATTCCGTCGCTGACAATAAATACACAACATATAATGTGATCGTTTACACACGACGCTTCTTACTTCAAATGTCTCTTTGTTCAAATATATTCATAGTTAACATCTACAAAACCACTATTATTAGTATCAAAGCCTAGGTGTCTTACATGCTCTTCAATTATTTTCTTAAGGCATTCTGGCAGATTTCGGTTTTAAAACAGTTTTCAATGCAATAACAATAAATGTACCCGATCTGACGTCGCAAATAAATCTATGCAATGGATTAAGACCACACAATGTAGTGAATAAGAAGCAATAATAAATGGAGAAATGTGATGGTAGTTGGATGGGCATTTCGCAGCCTTAGTAATCTTCTAAGTTCGAACTTGAGTAGACTGGAAACCAGTCTTTATTTAAGTAGGCTATTATGTTTCCAATGGTAGATGAGTGGGCAATTGGAGCGATGGAAATTGAAGATGGATCTGGATAGTAGCGTTTACCTGAAAATTCGCATGCGTGCATATATAACTGCAATGTTCGTAGGTAAGCCCCGTGTGACGGGTATATGTTGAGAGCATTGGCGCTTGAAGAAGGAGACACGATCGCTGGGACAAGAACTTTATTAGCCTGACGTTTCGGATTCCTGCTGGAACTAGCCCTGGTTGGGCGGTTTCAGCGAAATGCTTGACACGCAATCGACTAGACCAATAAATGGCGTGAATGCGTGAACGAAGGTTGTGTAGGTTGGTGCTAAGTTGAAATTGGTGTTGCTTGGCAGGGCGTAGAAACGTGTACACTGTTGGTGATGATGTTGATGGTTATGGCGGTGTTGGTTGTGTTGGTGGTAATGTTGGCGGTGACGATTTTGATTGAGATGGTGTTGTTGGTGTTCTTGCTTTTGGTGATGGTGGTGGTGGTGGTGATGGTGGTGGTGGTGGTGGTGGTGGTGTTGGTGTTGTTTTTGTCGTTGTTGGTGGTGGTGTTGGTGTTGGTTGTGGTGATGGTTTTGATGGAAATGGTGGTAGGAGTGAAGAGACGAGTCCCAGGATGTAGTCTTGCAGAAGGAGACACGATCGCTAGGACGAGAGCTTTATTAGCCTGACGTTTCAGATTCCTGCTCGAACCCATCATCAGAGACGACAGCAGATACGGGTGATTCATGCACCAGGGTCTGCAGTATTTATAGGATGCAGTCGCCATGCTATCGCACTCCTATTCACGGCTCCCCCCCCCTTCATTCGGGATCGTTGCACGTGGTGTGTTAACTGCTTGATGGCCGACGTTCGCGTCGTTAATTGGTACATTTTCATAACGTGCGTTGGACGTTAGCGTGCTGATTGCTCGATCATCTGTCGTATCGACCCTGGTGTTGGGAAGAGTGTTCACCTGTGCGCTCCCCGCGTGCTCAATTAATCCGCCTAGGCGAAGTCTCGGCACAGAATATGGAAGGGGAAGTTCTTTGCACCTGTCAATGGACTAGGGACCCGTAAACCATGACTCAAGTAGCTCCCGGCTCACGCGGTTGTCAACTCTTGCGACAATTTCGGCCTCGTCGAATTTGAATGTGTGGCTGGATCTTGTCGAATGAGCCGCAACTTGGGAGCTGGCGTCATTTCTCCGCACCGCTGCAGCGTGTTCGGCCATTCTCGTTCTGAGTTGTCTTCCGGTTTCTCCGATGCAGTTGCTTTGTCCGCAATTGCACCAGATCCGATAAACGACTCCAGAAATTTCTAGTCGTGGCAGTGGGTCTTTTGGTTTCATCAACTGGCGCCTGATGGTTCCCTCCGGTCTGTGTGTAGTTGTGGCGGTTTTGACGATGTTGGTGATGGTGCTGGCGTTGGTGGTGATGGTGGTGGTTGTGGTGTTCGTTGTGATTGTGGTGGTGGTAGTGGTAGTGGTGATTGCGACGGTGGTGGCATTGGTGATTTTGGTGGTGGCCGCCCCACTCGACGGCTTGGTAGGGTGAGTCCGCTCATTTTGGCAGCCTTGAATGTTCGTTGGCCTTTAGACAATCGGAGGAGCAACCAACCGGATTGGTGGACGGCTGTAGTGGCTCTGTAGCTGGCATGCAGCAAGGCGGACATTGCTGCCATCAATGAGACCTGGTTCTCCAAACAAAGCCAAGTGGAGGGTGTGGGTGACGGCTACACCTTTTTCTGCAGTAGTCCTTTCATTGCAGGGAGACAGGACGCAGATCTTGTCCTTTTTCTTTCTAGAATAACATCCTGCAACAACTGCCTTCTCTGCCACATTATGGAAACAATCGCCTGATAAGCCTCCAAAAGCCTCACCAGCGCGGCAAACTTGTCATGATTATGGTCAGCGTCTATGCCACCCTCCTCCCGAGAACCAAAACTGAGGCTGTAAGTGGTATATCCTGGAAGGACCTGCACGCATTTCTGGTGGCCGTGCCGAAGGCGGATAAGTTGGTTGTCCTCGATGACATCAACGTCCGCGTCGGCACAGACCATGTTGCCTGGAGAGGCGTGTTGGGAACAGATGACCTCAATGGCTCCAGTGATAGTGGCCTGTTTCTCCTGCGAACCTGCATGGAACACTGTCTCACCCGGTCCAACACCTACTTCCGTCTTAAGATGCGAGTGAAGTCCATGCGGATGTGCGGTTGGTGGAGACACTGACAACTGCAGGACTATGTCCTCGTTCGGACCCGAGACCAGCGGGACGTGCTGGTGACGAAGACGATCTCGAGTGCCAATGTATGGACGGAAAATCATCTCGTCATTTCCAAGATGCGAATTAGCCGACAGTCCCACAGGTGACGACAACGCAAGCAACACCCAGGTAGGCTGAATATTGAATTCTTGTCATTGCCTTCAAAAAATTATTTAAGATATGAGGAAGATCTATGGCTAACCAGCATTTAGGTTATTGCTGCCCACTTTACAAAAGAAACCATACGTCAATATACTTCTCAGACATTCAAGATATCACATTCTTTCCTCTCAATATATTTTAATTTCCGCCCACCTTACGCTTTAACCGAAGAACTGATAGATGACAATAGCATGTTTTATTCGACAAATACGGAAATCAGGCATAAGTAAATGCATCATAAATTTGCAAACATAACGCTACCTATGTACAGGCATAGTATGGAATGCTTCTATGCGTGGACTGGAAAATGTGCGCAGAAAAAGAAATGTCTCCATAGGTGACGCAAACGTTGACGAATGGGATTTCGACCTCTGCGATCCAACAATGCATAGGCTTCTAATATGAGAAGAGTGAAGGAAAGGAGAGGTGGGTATGTCATAAGGGAGACGAAGTGCTAAAGCAGTAACATGGCAGAAAAGTAGTTGTGGACTTACGCGACGACATGTAAACGGACCTCCATCGTGGAGGCCGCCGTCTTCCGGCGGATGGCGCCGGAATCACTTCTTTGTCTCCGTTTTCCACTTCTGTACACACCTCACAGTTTCCACCATTTACTTCTGAGGCGATAGCAAAACAGTCCGCGTCTCCACCAGCGTGCACATTCTGCTGCTGGTCCTTCTCCATCACCTCTGTATATACGCCGTTTTTGTCATTTGTGCTGTCATCCTCATCATCCTCCTCGCACTCCTCCTCCTCATCCTCCTCCTCCTCCTCCTTCTCCTCCGAAACCTCCTCGATTCTAATGAGCTCTGGAACAAACTTAAGCTTTCTTGACTGCGGTTTAGTGTACTGCATGGTCTTATCTATTTCAAAGTAAAAAAGACGGGTTTAGGTAGCAGGTGACGGGTGCGCAACGGTCAGACTGGGTAGTGCAAGTAGTTAATGCACTCACCATGGCCTGATTGCTCCGTCATCATCTTGTCCTACCAAACCACTCTCTATTCCTCCCCCAAATTCAGCTGCTTCCTCCTCCTGCTCCGCGTCGCCACATCCCGCATTCCTGCAGACTACAGACTCGACGCCACACGCGGATGGCAGAACATCATTCTGCTGCACTCTGCAATCATTCATTGTACGCACATTGCTGAAAGGATTTTCAAGGAGACGAGACATCTTCCCTCCACAGAGCTTCGTGCAGCAACGATGCACTTCATGCAGATGGAACAACAAAAACATAACGACGAACAACGATGTGGGAGAAAGGACGATGCCTACAAGTAAAAAGAAGCGATGTGACTGTTAGACTATAATCATGTCTGCATATACTCGCATAATTATTATAAGCCTGGAGAAGTCGGAAAGATGAAAGACTACATTGCAGTGAGCAGTGATTTAAATGAAGTCACGAGGTGCATGAAGTGATATAATGCAAGCACTTACCAAGTAACAGGTAAAGGATGACATTCGGGACGCAGCAAAT